AATAATAATATCGTGACTAGGTATTAATTATAAAATATTATTTTAAGACCTGAATTTTGTACATTGTTTTCAAATTTACTGTCGCCTTGAAGAAATAATCGAAAAAAAGGACAGACTTAAACAAGACATTAGTGTACAGACATGACTTTTTTGCTATTGGGCTGAAAAAGGATAATTGTGAAGATTTAGCTCCTTGGTTTTCTTACAGCATGTTTATTTGTATTTACTGTATTGTTTACTCAGATTAAAAAAATATTTATTACATTGTGTGATTCACCTGTGCCGATTGTTTTTATGTTGATTTTTATAGGACTTTTGTGAGAACAAGACACGTGCTAAGTTTGAAATTGAACAGGGATGAGAAAGTTGCAATCAGAGCAGGCGGCACTGACATTAACAAAAAACGTATACACATTCACTGTTTTACTGCCAAAGCCCTTTAGAATAATGATGATAGAACCATACAAACCAATATATTTAAAATGTGAAAACATTATTGAAAATATTTATATATTCTGCAAATCCAAATTAAAGCAAAATAAAAAAAGTAAATAAAAAACATTCTTTTTGCCACCTTGTGTGCAAAGTTCCACTTACTTTGACTAAACTGAAGCTCTTACATATTTTAAATTATGCTATTTTTTTGTCATTTCTATGTACAACAGGATAAAAATAACACTAATTTGCATTCAAAGTTGAAATTTTTGTTCACAAACAGTAGACACCCGAATACTTGAAATTGTTTGTAATGCATCAAGGCTAACCCCTTTATATATTTCTTCTGCAAAAATGAGAGTTCATGCTGAAGTTTGTGTATTATAGATTTTATAGCCACATTTCACTAAAACACTGAGTTCTATTTTAAAGAAGCACTGACAGAGTTGTGGTCATTGTATTCCTTTCATGAGAAAACCATGAAAGGAATACAATGCATTAATGCATCTATTCAGATGCATGATTTGCAAAAAACCACACCAAGCGAGTCAACCACAATTAATACAACCTCAAGTATGCAAGACATCATGTTACGGTGAGATTACTCTTATGTTTGGATTAAAGATGTGTTCTCATATTTACAAAAATTTTATATCTTTTGTCGTTAGGGTTTTTAAAACATATTTGTAAAAAAAAAAAAAAAAAAAAAAAGATTCTATCTTTAGACATTTTTGCTGAATGATTTTGAGTGGAAACCAGGGTAAGCAGAAGTGGACCCACAGATGGATGGAGAGAAGATCCAAACTCCATGCAGAAAACCCCCGGTTTTTTCTGGTAAAGATGACTTCTCAAGAATTTAAGAGGAAATTACAACAGGTTGACTGCACTACATCTCAAAAATGACTGGCCCGCCAGCAAATAGAGGAAGTTGGTTTGTTGCATGTGTGGGACTACAGGCTGTAGTGGTTTAAAGTATTTTCGTGCAAATGAGAATTAGGTCCACGTAACATTGTCTCCAAAAATGGACAAACATAATGACAGATGGAAAATGAGTTTAGAAAACTTCTCTATTCCTCTCTGAACTTGCATTTCCTGTATCTGTAAACCTGCACTTCCTCCACAATGTTTTTTCATAAAATGTTCTGTCAAATACAATTTTACATGAAGTCGTCATGCCTGATTTGAAATAACCTAACAGTTTATGGACACAAAGTAGATGGAGACTTGACTCTGTTTGAACAACTGGCTTTTGTTTTCATGAGACTCCAGCCATCATAATACAGAGGACGGCAACAACTCTCGAGATAGAGGGAGGGAGGATGTGGGTGACTTTAGTGTGAAATATTTATAAATCACTTCCTTTATGAGTGTGTGAACAAACAATTACAAAGATTTCTTCATGAAGCACAAAGGACATGAAAAACACATTTCTGTAAGTACCTTTTATCCCATCTTCAATTACCAGATCGCATGGTGAAACTATGTTCAGACTTATATAGTGAAGCACAGCTGATTACAATGTTTTGCAATTTGTTCTGCTTATGTTGTCTGTTGCATGTAATTTGCAGAAAACAAGATTTTAACCAGGAAAAGCAGAAGAAAATGTGTAGAATTACCTCTAAAATTGTTGCAAATTGCCATATGTCTAATGGTGTAAAGTTCCGATGAAAAGCATTCATGCCCCTGAAACTTTTTTTATTTATTTATTTTTTTCAAATTGATCACATTACCATCACAAACAATTTAGTGTTTTTTTTAAAAAAAAATGTTTTTATTTAATAAAGCCACATAAAGTCATGATTAATTGCAAAGGTACTGCTGTCCTGGCTAATTTTATCTTCCATTTGCATTTCAATACTTTTATGCAAACCTAAATAAATAGGGAAATATTTAATTTTGCCACAAATACTACCGTCTCCTCATTAGTTAATAAAAATAAAAAAATCCACCAGTCATCCAAATATGTTTAATTCCTATATTTTCCTAATGTACTGTAATTTAAGGAGAATACACATTTATTGCATAATTTAGTTGAGGAGTGGTAAATAGAAATGCATTTATTTAGCATTGTTCCTCTTTAAAAGGAGGACAACTTTTTAGTAACTTTTGACGACACTGCGCTGCATGTGACCTGAAGATTGAAAGTAGAATCTGAATCTTTTTCACTGGTCAATTTTAATACCTAAACGCTTGAGTTTCAGGTGTTTTATTGTTTCATCGTCTGCTTGAAGTGAGTGTTTGTGAGTGAGCAGTGTAATGTTAGTGATGGCTTACTTTATCCGGAAAAGATTACCTTTCAGAATTTAAGGGGAAATTGCAACACAATGATCAGTCTTGTTTCAGGTTGACTGGCTCACAAGCATTTAGAAGAAGTTTGAACTTCTGGCTTTTATTTTCGTCAGATTCTCACCAGCACGATACAGAGGAAGACATCAACTCTTGATACAGAGGGACGGAACAACGGTAAGCTGAATAGTCAGCATACAGGCTCCATCTTCAATAACTCTTTGAAGAATCTGAATTAATGAGCTACAACATTTAAATTACGTTTGGGATTGATAAGGTATTTTTGAATTTGAATGGAAATAAAATTAAATCATATTTAATTTGTAAATATGCAAAATTAGAAAATTGGTTGCATGTCTATTCTGATATGTCAGTTGTAGAAGGCTTTAGTTGGCTTAAATTTATTTTACTCTACGACCTAGCTCAGAGGTAAGATTATTTACCGAGTTGATCAGTCAGACTCAATGCAGTCGGCCCATTGCAGTCATCCGCTTCACGTGATTACAATCAAAGCACTTCTAACAGCAAACTCAGTATGAGACTGACATTTTTAACGTTCAAACTTTTATTTGGTTGTATTCATAGTAAAAGAGGTTATGAAGCTAATTAGCTTCACTGTGGGGTTATTGTTTTCAAAAGATATGCTTGCTCTGACAAACTAACTTAGAGTGCCCACTGTAATTTACTGAATATGACTACCTACTTATAAATTCATGCAGTAATATTTTCCTCTGTTGCAGGTGTTGGTGGACTTTTGGGATACGGCTGAACTCTGACCTCTACAATCAGCAACTGGTATTCTGAAGATGAACATAATACTCCTTCACTACAACCACACTGGGAGGATGGGAAACCAGCAGATGAATCATGTGGACTTTCAAGTCATCATCTTCCTCATCATTTGCTGCTTCATCGTTCTGGAGAACCTCACCGTCCTGGTGGCCATATGGAGGAACCACAGGTTCCACAACCGGATGTACTTCTTCATTGGGAACCTGGCACTGTGTGACCTGCTGGCTGGAGTCTCCTACATGGTCAACTTGCTCCTCTCTGGGAATAAGACGTTTGATCTCTCACCGACTCTGTGGTTTATTAGAGAGGGCAGCACATTTGTAGCACTCAGTGCCTCCATCTTCAGTCTCTTGGCCATCGCCATAGAGAGACACCTGACTATGATCAAAATGAGACCTTATGATGCCAACAAGAACTACAGAGTGTTTCTGCTCATAGGGACCTGCTGGCTGATTGCTGTGATCCTGGGAGCTTTACCCATCTTAGGTTGGAACTGCATGGACAACCTCCATGACTGTTCCACAGTCCTGCCTCTGTACAGCAAGAAATACGTAGCTTTCTGCATCACAGTTTTCATAACCCTGCTTTTAGCCATGTCAGTTCTTTATGCTCGCATCTACATCCTTGTAAAATCCAGCAGCCAAAAGGTGAGTAAACACAGCAACTCTGAGCACGCTATGTCCCTTCTACGCACCGTCATCATTGTAGTCGGAGTCTTCATCGCCTGCTGGACACCCCTCTTCATCCTGCTCCTGGTGGATGTGGCGTCTGAGCAGCGCTTCCCAGTCCTCTACAAGGCTGACTGGTTTATAGCACTGGCTGTGCTCAACTCGGCCATGAACCCAGTCATCTACACTCTGGCCAGTCGCGAGATGAGACGGGCCTTCCTGGCTCTGGTTTGTGGCGTTTGCTACAAGATGAAGGCGTCGGTGAATGGGAGTGGGAACAGGCAGTCCCTTGAGCCGAGCCGGAGCAGGAGCAAATCATGGAGCAGTCAGAACAACCAAAACCAGCAAAGGGGCCAGGAGACGGACACTGGAACGAATAGAGAGGATGTTCAGGAGGGTGTTTAGAGTGATGGGAAAAACTGAGAGAAGAGTTGCAGAAATCAAACAAATGTGGAAAGATGCTTGAGAGATGAAGTCAGTTTAACACGAAGCAAATCCAGTATGAAGATTGGACTATGCAGTTGCTCCGGCACAGAAGTTTCACTTTGGTGACTAATGTTTACACAACTTAAGCATCTGTAATTGAGACCAGCACAGTTACTGAATGTACTAACTGTGCTGGTTTTGCCTTCTTGTCAAGTCCTGAAAGAAACCAAATACGTTCAAATGGGATCATTAAAATTGCAGGCAGATATTTAGAATATAAAGAAAGACCAATATTATTAACAGTGCATTTCCAGAGAACAGGTCATCTACACTCTGGTCAGTTGCGAGATGAGACGGGCCTTTCTGGCTCTGGTTTGTGGCGTTCGTGACAAGACGAAGACTTTTTGTGGACGTCAGTGGGAACAGACAGTTCCTGGAGCCTCGGCAAAGCTGGAAGAAATCATGGATCAGCCAGAACAAACCAAAACCAGAATGAACAGAGGGGTTTGGAGACACACACACACCCCAGTGAGGTCTCACAGATGTCTGGAACAAGAGTACCCTCAGAAGGGGCATCAGGACCACGGAGAAGACTGAAAAAAGGGTGCAAGTTAACCAGAATTAGGAACAAGCTCTTTTTCCTTCTCTTGGTGGATGTGCCAGCACTGCCCAAGCCTCTTCAAGGCCGACTGGTTTACTGGACCGGCTGAGGTCAACCCTACACTTTGGCCATTAAATTCAGATGGGAATTTTCTGGCACCTGTTTGTGGCATTTGCTGCATTTCTTTGGTTACCAACAAATGCTTCAACAGCATGAGCTTATCTAAAGGAGCCAGATATGGTTTTTATATGAAAGCACATCTGCTACTTAGGGAAAATGTGTTTTAAAAAATGCCAAAAGCTGCATCTGACACCAAAGAAAAAGAATCTTAGTCGTAAGAAACACAAGAGAGATTATACACATTCACAATTTTATTGCCAAACAGTCATACAGAATAATGACAAACCCATACAACTAAAAGATTAAACATCTGTAAACATCATTTGGACTCGTTTTTATTTCGTACTTTTAAATATAGCTGTCCCGAAATAGTGTTTTTCTGTGACTCCCTCTGTCATTAATGTATAACCCAGAAAGAATGACATTTATAATACATATTAATAGTGAGGGAAAGAGACCAAGAGAAAGTGAGAACACTAGTCTCAAGCAGCAACACGCAGCAGGGCAAAAACAACCTCCAGTGAACAGGCATGCCCCATTGAAGATCAGCTATTGCACACTGAAGGGAGAGAAAAGAAAACACCATTTGTACAAATTAAAGGCACATTTCAGTCAAGAGAAATCTGGAAAGACGCCATCAGTGTCCAAGCATTTTTTTTTTAGTCGAGTAGATTCTTTACATTGCAGAGCTAATAAGGTTCAGTCTGTTACATTCAAGTATGAAGCCGTTTTCACTTTCTTCAAAATGTTGTCCAATTTGCTTGATTTTTTTTTTGTTTTATTTTTTTAGAAAATTTAGTATTGTTCCCTTTTGCAAGTTCTCAAGTTTGCTGGAAAATTTAGTCACAAACATTGCAGAAGAAAGAGATGTAAAGAAGTAAAAGTGTTTTATAGTATGCCAAAGGTCCATGACCAAACAGGTTGCTGTGCGGTTCCTGTACTATACACACCTTCTTGCAGCAAAACACAGGCACATTATATTACATTGCATCTGTCTTGTCAAACTCATTGAACACGTACTTGTTTTGGTACAACTCAAGTGGTCGAGTGCATTTCAAATACAATGCCCCATTCATTTGGTATCCATCAGTCCTGACAACAGTAAGAATGAAGCCATTTGAAAAGAAAAAAAGAAAGAAAAAAACAGGCATTTTCCAGAGCAGCTGCAGATCATTTCCACTAACCCCATCAAAATTTGGGTTTCTTTCTTCATGAAATAGTAAGACTCAACACTGAACTGTTTATAAGATCAATTGTTTACAGATGGCATTGACTCTGAAATGGAACGACTCTGAAAATGAACAAATACTCAAAAGGTACCATTATGGCACCTAGTGGCTGAAGTATATATATGGGTAGGCATAGGCTGGCTCGCATTACCAGAGAAAGTGGAGGCATAACTTCAGTTTCTCCAGCAGTTTTCAGAAACGGTTGGGAAGCAACAAATCCGACTGAAAGCTGGCTACCTTTACAAAGTTTGATTAAATTAACCCATTATTATGGCAAAATAAAACATGGCAAAAACATAATATTCTGGGGAATAATTGCCTGAACAACTACTGACAGTGATGTTTTCTCTACATTTTTAATCATACATAGATATTAAAGCGTATTTTAGCAACAGACAGAATAATTCTTGCGTTCAGTTTAAAGGTAAAAGAAATTGAAGCATAGTACTGTATGTCCCTGTATTTTAACACACCTTACCATTGTTCGTCTATTTTTCTGTGTATTTTTATATGTTTACTAGAAGTGTAGTCCTGTTTTACTAAGACTAAAAAAAGAGCAGTGGAATGAACTTATTGAATTTGGGGAATCTAGATCTTTACCAAATGAGCTATGAGTTTACAAGACTTTTCTGGTTTACCAGCTGTGGTTTTACCATCATTTCTAAGTAATTACTGATTATATTTTTCCTCGAAACAAAAAATGAATTCATCAAATGCCTCAGATATTCTGCCAACACAGCGTAATCTCCGTTTAATCAGCAATGGAGGGGCTACCTCTGTAGGAGAGTGCCGCAGTTCTGGTTGGAAATTAGGATCCTAACGCTTCATTAAAAGGGAGCTGAACTTTATTTCTGGTGATCTAAACAAAAAATAAAAAGTTTTGTCAATGTACTCCCTCTACTGCTCGAATGTAAAAACACCATCTGCAACTGAAGTACAAGTATGTATATGGTTTTTACCTCTCTACTCCATCTAAAAAACAGAATATTTGGAAAGACATTTTTACCATAATATCTCATTAGGTAAAAATGATTTAATTCATTCATACTAAAACAAAACCAAGCAGTCTTTAAATTTGCTTCTGGCATTTTAGCACAATCTACAGACTTTGTGGATTTTTATTTTCTTTATTGAAAGCTTAGACCACCTTTAGACCCAACTAGCAGTTTTGTGTGAGCTAAACCTAAATATGTAGGTCCAAATAAGGGCTATGTATGGACTTAACACTGACCAGCCCATGCCTAGTCATGATTAACACATTGAATCTATGCAGTTGTAGTTTCAATAAGTGCTAGTGAATAATCTGTTCTAGCTTTAGTTGATGTGAAAGCAACATTTCCATTAATGACACCTTGAAACAGTGAGCACTCATCTAGTACGACTGAAACAGAGCTCTGATTGTGCTATTCATGTGTGATCATTCAAAAAAAAAAAAAAAAAAAACCCTTTTTAAAAAGTTCACCCAAAGAGCCGAGTGTGTTCATTTAAAATGTGAGGATATTAAACTGTATGAATCAAGCACCAAAAACTAATCACTGACAACACCTAAAAGTCAGAGAAAACCAATTTAAAAAAAACCCCCGGGTTAAAAAACAGATTTTTTTTTTTTTTTTTTTTTTTAACAGTGTCAGCATACACAAGCACCTCCTTTCAAATGACGGGGAATTCAAGGTCTACGAACACGAGAACAATTGATTTGAAGTCATGCGGCTGCAGTGACACAAGGAAATACTTTATAATTGTATTTTAAAAAAAGGCCGATCTCTAAAGCCATTGACTGCAGGATGAAAAGGTGTCTGTTTGCTCCCCGACACTGACAACACATTCGGCTTCAATCTCCAACAAAAGTAGCTTTCATATGGAGACTAATAAATCAAGCTGTCACACTAATGGTCAGTTTCAGGGCATTTTTATTTTTTTATTTGAATTTATTTAAAAGAGCCTTTTCTGATTCTTCAACCACTGAGTCAACATGTTCAGTAGAAATATGGTTGTGCTTGACAGACAAAACTTAGTTTAGAGTTTATTTTTAAAATATTCTTGCCTCTTTGAGGTTTTATTTGCACTGCGTCTAAACTACAAGAACAATTTGTCGCTTTATTGTTTCTTTAAACACCAAATCAAAGTATCAAGTCCAAATGCACTGATTTTTCTTCTCAAAAATATAGCATTTCAGTCATCACAACAAAATAGCAATTCTATAAATAGTTTTCCTTAATCCTTAACAAATCTCGAGTACTCCAGTGACTCCAGTAAAGCAGGTCAGTGTTGAGCACATTGAGCCTTTTGCAGGCATCTTCCAGTTCCAGGAGGAGAGCGCATCTAAAGGCCCTCTGCTTCCCATCAGGCATTTCAAATATCACAATTTCCTTTCAACAGGCTGATGGAGACAGAGTTCACTCCCAGCTGAGACAATTGGCAAATTGTTGTCACGGTGATGGCCAATAAGGTGGCTAATGCTGTCAAATATATGATCTTTTGTCCGTACCTTTGAAACAGAAGAAAACAGGCGTTAAGAATCAGTTTTGGTTTCATGCTCCAAAACCAGCTTTTGTATCCTGTTCTTACCGTGCCTTCGGGGTCCACAAGCAGTAAATGTTTGGAGAGTCCATTGTGCATACCAGTCAGAACGTAGGACCCTGGGTTGGTAGTGCTCGTGCGGACAAGGAAGTCCCCATCGCTCTTAAGCAGTTTCTCAGCATCACGGCGGCTCATTTTGCCATGGTACCACATCTGGCCTTCCAGCTCCTCTTGTGCGCGGAAAGCCAAAGATCGGACAAGGAGAGGGCTGGAGTTGTCAACAGAAGCTGCCTTCTGAAGGTTGGACACTTGAGTCTGGGACTGCCCTGGGGCCAGTGGCTGGGACTGGGACTGAATGGCTTCCTCAAAGGGCTCTAGTGCATGAGAGAAAAGTTAGAGTCACGACAGAAAATTGAAGTTCAGAAGATTGTAAAAATATTTCCGCATTGCGTCATTTACGGGAAGTTGGCAGACCAATCTAGGAAGGTTCAGCACTGTTCCATGTATATCCATTAGTAGATAATGGCTCAGTGCAGTTTACTGGAGTCCCAAAGTCTGAGAAATGGCTTGTAACCATTTGTCGTCAGAACAGTTTGCAGTTTCCACCGTGTTGACTGAAATTTAATTCAACTTCCCAAAAATTGTGTTGAAAGTTCACTCATGATTTTACAAGGGGGTGATTATATCTTTCACATAAGGTCAGTGGTTTATATTTTGGTTTTACAATTTGCTCAGATTATCTTAGCCTTTTGTTGAAATCTGATTAGTGATAAGGGCAAAAACAGAAGAAATCAGTATGGGAACAAATTCTTTGTCATACGACGATATAAAAATCAGTAGTCAAGTCAAATTGGGGGTTAAAAGGAGGAAAGAATAAAGCCATAAAACATTAACACGGTTATCTTCTTATCTTTTTGCTGACATGATGTAATTAAATAAGACATGCATAAAGAGGTAAAGCTGTGAACTGCTGTAATTATTTTAATTACAGCAACCTCTGCATTTAATGGCACCCCTGGTAAAGATGTTTAAAAATCCTTAAAATAAATGTACCTTTTATTACAGTAGCATAATTTATCATGACTTAACTTTTTATTCAAGTATGTTCACTGAGGTAGTCAAGTCCCACATTGAGACAAGCATTATTTTTTTTTAAATCCAACTTTTTTACAAAATCCTGCTGAAGGGGCTGCATTTTCGTTTTACTAGTAGATTAAAACAAGATTTTATTTAAATGCCCTGATGCATCAGATTGTCTATGTACTATATGAAAGTTTCCAGGGCCTTTGGAAGAGAAACGGGTTTAAAGAATCATGTACATCTACCATCCTGAATGTCATCTTAACATGTCTTTCATTTTGAAGTGTGGGCAAGAGAAATGGACCTCCATCATATCATATAAGACCAGGAAAAAAGCTAGTTATAGATGCCTAAATTCTCAAAAGTTTGAGAAAAAAAAAAAAAAAATCTTGCTAATCAATTTTAACATAAGTATTATATTTAAATGTCAAAAGCATTTATTTCAAGGGTTTTCTGTTCATCTTAAAACAGTAGTACCAATACATGTATAATAGCACAGTTTTATAAAGCAAAAAAAACTTTATACATAGATGATTTTGGCTTTAATTAGGTTTACCAGCTACTGATAACAGTTCTCATATACATATAACTACAAATGACTTACCAGCAATTATTTCTGGACAAATACTCAGTTATACACCCGACATGAGAGCTAAATATGAAAGAGGGCAAATAAGTAGTAAAATAAAGTGATTCAATGGCCCAGACAAATCTCAGACCTAATATGCACCAGTAACACTGAAACATTGATGGGTCAAAAAAATGCCCAAACCTCAATGGTCCTATGCAGAACCTATAAAGACAAGAGGTCTAATTCCATCAGCAAAACTGTGGCAGGCAATATTGAACACTGTTATTTGTTGTGGTCTTCAAACCACAACAAATTCAGTAACTTGGAACTATAAGTTACCAAATTATATGTAGGGCTTAATTTTTGACTGCCTTAAAAAAAAAACAGCTGCAAGAAAACTAGCTCAAACTACAGAACTTTGACAAGAGCTTTTAACTTGTAAGGTCTTTGTATTTTAATCAACACAATTGAACCAATCTCTTCCAAAAATATTGGGCTGAAAAAAATTGACTTTTCAAAGCATTCCAAGTTAGAATCATCTAATTTTATTATGCAAAACCAATGGTAACTAAACATTAAATAGAAATTAATCAAGTCTTACTCATGTCAAACAGGTCCTTCTGGGGGCTCTCTTTGCCTGCCTCTACTATGCCCTTTGTAGCATTTTCTGCTTCAGCCTGGAGAGCTGCAAGCACCTGGGCATCAATCTGCTGGGTGTTCACGTACATGGGCATCTCCACTGCTTTAGGTGTCTGACCTTTATTCTCTGGGAAACCGCTGATATCAAAAGATCCTGAATATTGAAAGGAACAAAGCCAAAGTCAGCCTGCTAAAGTGACAACATGGTCCAGGAGTAAAGATGTGCTTACTGTACTGGAGTGTTTGGTGGTTCCTACCCTGCTGCAGGAAGATGGCTTTCCTTTCATCAGCCCAGTTTTCACAATGCCGTCCCTGGTAGTACGTCTGATCCACCGAGCCCGGACCAGTCTGATCAAACGCACAAGCAGTGAATTTATTTTTCAACAAATACACATACAAATCGTAGGACATTGTCACACCTAAATGTTTCAGAATACATTTTAATCATCAATAACCTGGATAAATACAGAATTTGTTTTTTAAATGATGTTCTTAATAAGAGGAAGTATGTATATTTGCCCTTGTTAAATTATGCATTAAATGTGAATAGCCCTTTCTATTGGGAAGTTGAGAACTGACCAGGACAAAATGACACATGGAAACGTTCCAAGACAAAATGTTGGAATGTTTTAGAAGGTGTGTGTCCCCTTATGTCACATAAAACAACAATGTTTTGGGGGAAAGATTGTACTGACAGTCAAACATTTTGATGGAGCCATTTTTCAGCATCAAGAACTGTTATTGCAACTGTAATTTGTGCTTTGCACCAAAATGATAAAGTTTGTCACCTTAAGCTTGAGAACAAAGTTATCTTTGTCTGATATGACATTCTGTAACAGTCTGAAACATTTAAGTCAACTAAAAACACAGACACTACTTTTTAATGGCATTGTAGTCTCACATCAATAGCATATAAAGACAAAAAGACTGCCATCTCAGCAAATTTTTTAAATGAGGTGCCGATTTATTTATTTTTTTAAGACAAAACCCGTCCACGATTGTTTTATGGTGCTTTAGAATATCAATCTTCTACCTGGCCGCCTTCAGATGCTGCGTTCTGATTCGTCAGTCGAGAATCAATAAAGCCTCCTTGGGGTGGCATTTTGCCAGGGATGTTGTTATAATAAGGATGTCCTGTTGACTCCTCTTCTTCCTCTGTCCATGCCAACTCCTCCATGTTTAATACTCTGGGGGGAAAAAAAAAAAAAGCATTAAACATGGAAAACCATTAAATATATATGTAAAGCAGAACCTAAATGCTGAAATTGAACAAACAAATGTTTCTTAAAAGTTATGGTTTCACCTCAAGAAAAGTTTATTCACCGTAATGTTAACACTGAATTCATATGAAGCTTACAATTTCTATTTCAACCTTATTAAAAATATTTTCAGTGTTTTATTACTTTTGAAGACACCAATTTCACCTTTCAAATCACAAAACAATGTTTATTGGGGCCAACTTACAGAAGATCTTGTTCAAAATTTGTAACTGTCTTTTTTACTTTTATTACAGGTTCAGCTTAAGTTTTATTTGAAATAGTCCAGCATCTAGAAAGTAGTGAAATGTCTGTCCATTTAATCCATCCATTTGACAAGGGAAATTTTAAAATCAAATCAAAGACAAAGCAGGTCAATTAAATCTAAATCATTGTAAAAATTTATAAAATAGAAAATTAAGAAAAACTAGGAAAAAAAAAATCTTTCAAATATCCATTTTCTTTTTTCTAAATAGCCATATTTTTCCAGACCTGTATAAGAACAATTCAAACATTGATATTGAACTTCTTACCTGTCATGGACTGAGGACATCTTGCTTGAGGGACACTGCAGGTACTGCTGGAAGCGAAGGTCAAACGCCTGGCCGATGGTGCTGATAACATCCTGAGCGAGCCCGTCGGAGCATTCGAGGATGTGACATGCTGAGAAGAGTCAGATTACAGCAGTAAAGAACATGCTCACATTAGACCGTTTTATGAATGTCAGAAATGCGTCCTCACCTCTTCTGTTGACCGGGTCCTTTGCTACATAGGCAACATAATCTGTTGTATCCTACAAGAATAAATGATAACTTGGTAAATTTCACTGATATACTGCCAATACATTGAAATAGGTCAATATCATGTGGTAAGTTGTATTTGACAGAGTGAGGTAATTTGCACTAAATTGCAGATATAAATTGCAGATATTCTTTAAAACATCTATGTTGGTAAACTGAAAATTAATGCTGGAAATACTTACAGGATCTCCACCTGATGCAAAGGAGATAGACTGCATGTGATGGTTGGCAATGATCTGGCAGAAGAAAAAACAAATTCATTTGTAAACTGAATATTTTGTGCACATACAAATTGTTGTGAAATAAAGTTTAAAAGTCAAAATGAGTTAATTTTGGATTGTTGGAGACTGACCTGTTTGCAGTCAGGGGTCATTAGGTTGAGGCTACTGGTGGAGATGTTCAGGTTGATGGACATGCCAGCAAACTGGAGATTACTCTTGCCTAAAATGTTGGACAGGGCTTTGGATGGTGGCTAAATGGAGCAGGGGAAGAAATACAGAGATGGAAGAAAAAATTTTATCGTTTCATGCAAACTAGAAAAAAAAACCCTCAACTTAAATATTTCTGACCCCCCCACCTTAAACTTTTAAGAAACTCAAACCACCACAACGAAAAATCTCCAGTCTGAATCTGATGCCAAATATAACATTCATCTCATTTAAAAGAAGGTTTTTAAAAGAGAGTGGGCAGATTAAAAAGGACATAGTTATTTAAGATACTCCGTTTTATGTCACAATCACGCGTTTGTCACACATCCACAGGAACATCATCTAATATCAGAACCTCATTCAGAGAAATTAGATGGTACTCATTCTGTTTTTGTTATATTCCCTTTTCTGACATTTGAGGAAGCTTTAGAGAGCAGAATAATGCTTCACATTAAGGCCCACAAACAGAATCCACTCACACACACTGCAGCTCAGCCTCCTGATCAGATATTGTGAACTACATGAGTCACTAAGCACTGTGCAATACATCGTGGGCTGAAGCTACGCCCACGCAGACATGGCGCCATTCGTCTTCATCTCCCTTCTTTGCCTCATTTCACATACAGGAAGGTAAAAAGGAGTGGGGGCAAAACATACAGAGGGGTGCTATAAATAAACCACAGAAGGGCAAATGAATATCCAATGTCCTTTACTCTTCAAACTACTGAGCAGTTTGCGTATATTCTTCGGGGATCTGGATGGCGTTTCCATTTGTCGGCATACCTTTCTTTTCCGCAGCGCTCCTTTGGTCCCAGGAACTGCTTCACACACCAGGCTGATAGCTTCCCTGCAGGGAGGGTAAGAGGACAACCATGTTCAGCGTCATCAGCAATAACATGGATCATATTCCCATTGTTACTTACTGAAAATCAGTTACTATTGTGCTATTTATCCAAAACAGATTTTTTATTTTAGTTTTGATCATTTCAAATTTAAATCCACTTTAAAACCATTCAATATTTAAATTAATGTAGAGCTATAGTAATGAATGAATAAATCATAAGAGTAGTTTTTTTTTTGACGCAAGATATTACAACACTATATAAAAAAAAATAAGAATAACGAAACAAGTCATTATGAAAGGTGATGCAACAATAAATTTCCTGCAAGTTTTTAGCAAAGAATTTTTTCTCTAATGTAGTCCTGCCTACATTAAAGGACCATGTTTAGATTCAAGTCATTTCAATGCATTTTTTTTCCACCAACTTTGAAGATACTTAACTTTTGTGCATATGACCGTCATTACACAGATTAAAATGTGTTCGAGTTAACGTGTTCATCTTCTAAATACCTATGCTTCAGACAGGCACTACATTGTGCTTGTCCACAAGTTAGAAAAAGCTGTTGAATTAGCTGGAAATGAAGAAATGGGATTACGTTTCAGACTTTCATACACTTTTGAGCAAGTAAGAATTCATACACAGAAGACAAGCACATGAATTACATGATTAACAATAGGACTAATTTAATAAGAAATGTGCACAATTCAAAAATAAGAGACTTATCTTTCTGATAAATCTAATAACTCGTCTCCTGTAACTTTTTTTTTTTTGCCTGACATTCTGAACAAAAGAGGCTAATCATGCGACGGTGGGGCTACAGCGACAGCTTTCCAAACCAATGATGCAAAGCTCAGGAAGTCATGCAGAAAAGTGGACAAGACAAACTAATTCCCATCAGGCTTTGTTTCACTGCACATCAGTAACAAACTTCAAACATACTTATGGAGTCACAGAAACCTCCAAGTGAACAAATAGTTTACATCAATAAAAAAATGATTGCTTTACCCGTTTAATGGACAATGATTTGAATGTTTTGTTGCTTAGATACACTAGAAAGAAGCCATCTTCATCAAAAATATGGCATCATGCAGGAATTTTGCAGCATTTTATTACACACACCGTTGATGAATCAATCATTTTTAATGTTTTACAATGATGCATACAATTAGATTTTCAAACTTGTGCAACTCTTATTAAAATGGGTTTAATTGTCTCTGTATTGTATTTTGCTTGTTACTTTTTTGGAGGGGGGAGGGCTCATTTGGACTCTGACACAATAGAGCCACTGAGTCATTGTCAGGGTCTGAGTCACTTTAATCACTGTGTCATTGCTGTAATATACACAGACTGAAAAATGGGCTTACAGAAGAAGGAGCTTCAGTCATTTGTTAATCAACTAAACAAGTAATTGATCTTTTCTTTTTTTAAGGTTAAACAGTGAAATGGTTCATGTTATCTTTTGTATACATTTAAATCTAACTTTATGCTCATTTTATATTCACTCAACTGCATCATTATACTTTAGTTCATTTTCATGGTACGTAGCAAAATGTTAAACATGTCCGTCTGTTGCATGAAGACATAGATGAACATTTGAATTGTAAACATTTTGTTGGTGTTTTTTTTTTTCACAATACAAGTTTTATATTCCAACTTTGGGATCTCTACCCAGTGTAGGGACAGTAGAGGATGTTGGATTAAATGTAACCGAAATGCTTTAGAAAAAAAAAAGCATCAACATTCAGCAAGCTCTGGTACATGGTTGATTTTTTCC